TTATTATTATCATTTTGATAAGGTATATATGGAAATTTTAATATTGATAAGACAAATTGGTAATACTTATGTACCTGGTTTTGATGATAAGGTGCAATTACTTTTTTGATCATGTGAAGATTCCATTATAGGTATATCGGGCATGTCTATCACCTTCAAGCAGGTACATACGTACTCACGTATAAAGATCTTATTAGATAACGCTGGTTAGAGCGTTTGGATTGGACGATTGTATATATTTAGAACTATCAGGTGTTTCGGATGTCAAACCATTTCATTCACAGCTCATACGTTCATGTATCACAGAAAACTATTTTGATATTTAATTTGACACGCTAGTGATTTACAGGGAAGCCACTCGCTCTAAGGGCATTCACAAACAAATAGGCAGTAAGTCTCGAGGTAAATTTAAATTCAAATGAAATCCATTTATTCTTAGTACATCTCGAATAAAGTTTATTTTCTAGACCTCATTGGAACATTAGAATAAACAAAATGTACACCACTCATTCTAATTTAGAACCCCGAACAATTATTTTTCGGATTAGTAAGCTCTCGCAATATTTTTCGATGCCAACTAGTTTATTTATTAGTGTCACGAAAAAAAACGATGATTGACTGCCAATCAACATGGAATAATCCTTTGAAGTTACTTATAAGGTAACGCTGATTTAAAATAACCGCACAACAAAAATCGTCGGTTACGATATCGTGAAAAAAACAGGGTTCACAAACAATTACAATTTTTAATTACATTGACTATATCATTGCGTGATTTTAAAAGAAATTATGAAAATCTTAAATTAATCTAAATGACAATTATTAATTACTGTACGTATCCATAAAATCTAATAATAATATTGGTTTCTTTATTGTATATGAAATTTTGAAACCGCTTCACACTATTGCATTTCACTATATGTTTATTAATATAAAAATAATTGATAAACCTTGTTTTTTGTATTTATTGATTTTTGATTTTAACACACATCATTTCGATTCTCTCGATTCATAATTAACGTGATTTGAATCTTTTTAAATTTAATCAATTCCAACTATTGTTTTTTCATCACATGCAGTATATATTTTAAGATCATTTTAGATCCAAACGTATACTGTACGCATACACAAATCTCATTAAATTATTAAATTATTAAATTGGGAGGTTTTGTTTGATAATTTTAATCAGATTTGTTACTGTAATACGTTACTTAAAAAAAATAAATAAATTTTTTTATATTTTATTTTATACAAATCCGAACTATATTAACACGGCATATATCCGGTGTATATATTCTACGTAATTAAATATGATTACTTACAATTAACTATTTTTTTTAAAAAAATTTTTTTTTAATAAATCAATTCATTTGTAAATATTAATTCCGATTATTAAGATATGCAACAAAATAAATCGAAACTTAATTAATGCCAATAGTTTAAGAAAAAAAAAAATCATTATTATGTAATAATACAAATAAAATTATATTAACTAAAGTATATATATAATTATATATGGTATATGCAAATAATAAAAATAAGTCAATAAAAAACAAATAATGACAATTGTGTCGTGGTTCTTTTAAAATATTTAAATTATATAATATAAACCATATATTGATTGATATATTAATTTAAAATTAATTTTAATATATATATGTGTGTGTATTGAAAAACAAGATAATTATCTTATTTTTCTTTTTTTTTTTTACAGATAAATACTAATACAAAATATTTATTAAACTTTGGTTTATTATTATTACATTAATAATCTTTATATAAATTATTTGTAAATCAATTATAATCTATTAGAATATATTGATTAATATATTGTATATTATTGTCAAGTTTATTTTTATTGTATATATTAACAAAAAATTAAATAGTTAATATTTATTTAAAAATAAAAATATTATAATTGAAATAAAAAATTTTAAGTTATTAAATATGTAAAATATTGTTTTCAAATGTGTAAAAAACTTTAATTTAAATAATTTGAAATTTTTTTTAAATAGAAAAACTAGTATATAAGTATATAAATTTATTTGAAAATATTTGTTAAAAAAATTAATAATAAAAAATCAATTAATTAATATTAACAATTGAAAAAAAAAATTTAAAATTATTAAAATTAATTATAAAAAAATCTTTATTCCTTTTACAGTATAATAATTTCAAGACTCAATAAATGAAATAAGCTTAAAATTATAAAATATTAATTAATAAAAAAATAATAATAATGAATTTCATTTTAATTTAATTTAAAATTTTGCAAAATTGAAGTTCAAAAGAATATTTTTGGTTATTAATTATAAAAAAATTTTTTTTTATTTATTAATGATTTTAATAAAAATTTTTAACTAGTTTTAATAAATAAAATAAAATATATTTGTTTTTTAAATCATATAATTAATTGTTTTTGATAAGTTAAAAGTTGAAATAATACAAAAATATTATCAACCAAACATTTGATTTGTTTTATTATTGTGTCAAAATTAATTTAAGCTTTATAAAAAAAATACAAAACAATCTAAATATATTTTTTAAAAAAAAATTTATTAATTTCAAAAAATAATATTTTATTAATGATTGTATCAAACAAGTACCTGAAAATATATTTTTTAAAATTATATTTATTTATCTTATTGTATTTAATTTATTATAAAAGAATTGGAAAAAATAATTTAATGAAAATTCTAAAAGCATTTTTATAAACAAAATCAAGTTCCAGATATTATAAAGAGATATAGTTTAAATTATTGCATTTCTATAACTTTTTTCCTTCCATTGGCTTATTCGTGCTACTTTTATAACACACTTTGTGTCACTTACTTCACCATTAATATCCTTACAGCTTATTTTTTAATATAACAATAATATGGTGATAATATATTAGCAATATATGATTTTGTTATTTATTGAAATCTACTGTAATTGTAACAATATAAAAATAAAACAGTTTCTATTGATATTTAGCAATGTTAAAATAAGATTTGTTTAAAAACATACAATGTAACGCCATCTGTATGTGTTTCTTGTTACCATAAATGCTATTGTGAACATTCGTATAAAGTTATAGAGATAACTAATTATGGCGTACGAGTATGCAATTAAGTGTGTCACAGCTTGTGTCCAAAGAAGAAGCTTGATTGTCTTATTGTGCCTCCCCATAAATTCTCTTTTGCAATACGTACTAATTATTGCATAAGTGTGCGCGCAAATTATATTGGCCAAAGTAAACGTCAGAAATTCCTTTATAGATACAGTAAAGCGTTTCGATAAACGTAAATCAATTTAGTATTCTACGGAAATGAGTGAACAAGACTCTAAGGAATACGTAATTTCTATTAATGATGAAGGCTCTGCACAAGATCGAACTTCGAATGATTACGTACATTCAAAAAAAAAGAATAACAAATCTTGTTTACTCACCAAATATGAAATATATTGCAACCTCGAGTAATCAATATGATGATATAGTTAAAAATCTACATATTGACTTCGATCTTCATTCCGAGGATTATGATCAATCGGTTTACGTGTGGAAATTCGTGGAAGGTGAAAACATTTAACTTCACGCTGGAAACTAGAAAGAGTTTCAAATTGCAAACATATTCTCTCAAGTATTGATAGAAATACTCCTTACGACCTCGGTAAGTAAAGTTTGGCGTTGAATGTAAGTTGTAATTGCGTCTTTTAATAACGCATATAATTATTCAATAGAAATAATTGATATCACAACCGGGTCAAAGAAAGCATTGAATGCTCAAGGTTTGAAAGGAAGAATCTGCGAAGCTACATTCCTTAACGATGGAAAATTAGTAGTCGTTAAAGGGGATCCTGTTTATCGGGTCTATATATTTTCTAATTAAAAAAATCAGTGGGACTGCACGAATAGCATTATCTCAGGAAAGATTGCTGGTTCTCTTAGATAAGCCTTTAGTAGTCATACAATGGAATTTAGAAAACTGGAGCTTGAAGCACAATATGAAATGGATTGGAGTTTGTCTTGGTATTTTTCTTTGAAGTCACATCCTGTGGGTATTCGTGATTTTTTGGAGGAGACTTATAACATGCACATTTCACTAAATAGATGATGTAGACAATTGTATCTATGTTTATTCAACAAAATCTTGTGCAATAATAGCAAAACGTAAGTACTAATTATGTATGAGTAAACCATATAATTCAATTATTGGTCTGTTAATGATATCAGAAAAACTCTGAGCCGACGTCAATCATATTATTACTATTGATTTTATTGGATTAAATACTTGGACGAACCTGAAGATGAACGTAAACCTGGAGAATATAATAGAATTAATTCACATTCTTATAGAAAAAAAATTAGAAACGATAGAAAACACTTTGGAAACATATAGATCAAATAAATATACTGCTCAAGATTTTGCAGAGAACACTGATCAGCTACAGTATATCCATGGAGCGTTAAGCCTTCTGGGAGAAATTTTTTATTATCGGTTATCCATAATACGAAGACTGAGAATAAAAATCAGATCGAAATAGTTGTACCTTTCTTAAAGAATAAAAATTCCATTTGTACAGAATTTAAATGGCTTGAAAACGGAGACTTTATGTTTATTTCCTCTTTTGGCATATAAATCTGGACAGTAAGTACGAGCTCCGAGATTGATTTGCTTTACTATTGGGTCGACATGGATATATGCATCGAAAACGGAGCAAGAAATTCTGATCGAACACCTTGCAATTCTCAAGAGTAAATTCAAAAAAATTGAAGACTCTAAGAACTTGATACCTTCACCGTACTTTACCAAATTATTAATCATTTTCAGAATCATATTTATAAAAAACGATCTACTTCTAACATTTTAAATGTCATTTATTAAATTACGTACACGGACGAGAATCTATCCCTGAATTTAATAGATCTATGTGGGAATTGATTGAACAATCAGTTCCCGATAATAACTTTCTATTAATTTTGGAATTATACAGAAGAGTCGCGTTGCATAAATTAATTAAGATTATCAAATTAAGGCTTTATTTAATCAGATTCTTGACGAGAGTTTCAGAAAGGCGATATTTCAAAGTTTATAAATTTAATGGATGGAATTACTTTTACACTTTTAGAATTAGAATCTTACGACCAAAGTTATGGATTTACTGAACGTTTTTTATCCAAAACTGCGTTATTAGTTCCCGATGCTTTTATAGGTGCCCTGGATGACTCATCTACATCATCGCATCATGACTATTATCGAACATATGTTTACATACCGTATTTATCTTACACTTCACGTTTCAATCGCTGGATTTCCGATAAATGGGAATTTCCGAAAGAAACTTTAAAATTTCCCTATTCTGTCTATTCGTCTTATTTTAAGTCACACCTTAAGAAAAACTTTATCGAATTTTGCCACATATCCTGAAAAAAATCATTCTATTTATAAAGAGCTGATTAAACCAACCGGAAACCCTTTCACCGAATTAAGTATTATAAATGGTGGAACATCAAAGCTCTCGTCAATTTTAAGTGGAACACATTTGGGAAATATTATTATTATTTAATGTGGGCAATATACTCGATATTTTTACTATGTTTCTCTATAGTTACGATAATTCCGCCAAATAAGATTTCATGGGAAAACAAGGAGGCTTTTTTGTGACAACAATTATTCTTGGACTTTTTCTGTTTTCTTTTGTTCGAGAATTCATCCATAAATCAAAAAATTATATTACAAATTTGGAACTTGTTTGATTTGTATAATTAATATTCCATACATAATCAAAATATTATTTATAAGTTCTGATTTAATTTAATTTGTAGACATTACCGCATTGTTATTACCGACAATAACTTCATTTACAGTATATGGTTAATTGATGAAAGTCCATCATTATGGATTATCGTTATAGCTTGAGGTCAAATTTTTATTTTATTTCCGTGCGCTGGATGACTTTGAAACATATTTTGCAATTATGATTGGAGTTGGACAAAAAGTCATTTATTATCTTGTTGTTTTGGGTATTATCGTCTTGGCATTTTCCCACTCTTTCCATCTCTTGTTAAGACCCACCACCGAATACTGTATTCTTATGATCAACCAAGTTATAACGATGACGTAAACAATCCTTGGAATCTTGTTACAAGATACCGTTCTATTTCTTCTGATAACATTGGTCAACAATCTCTTATTACAAATCCTGACGAATATTTGTATCACTTGATACCGCTACATTTGCGGTGTATTTTATGTTAACAGGTATGATATGATGGTGTAAGATATATACAGTAAATATAGATTATTAATAATTAGTCGCATTACAGGAAACAAAAGTTCAGTCTCTTCATGGACCTTAAACCAAAATCTCATTTTCTTTTTTCACATCAATTTATTTGTTAAATCTATTCATTGGATTACTTAATATGGCAATCGACATAAGAAATAATGAAGAATCCTTCTTGCAATTAAGGGGTGGGATATGTGTATTTTTAATTTATCTATCATAATTCAATAAAAATTTCGACCGTGGCAATAATATTACTTGTAGATATTGGCGGAGATTGAACTTTTTTGGATGTTTCCCCATCAAAGAAAAAAATATAAATTGGTTTCCATAGACTTTGTGATCATTTCTCATATACTGTATTTCTTATGAGTTTCTACTTCGAAGGTTAACTCTATCAGCTTCTAATATAAAAAAAATTTTTTTTCAGATATTACCAAGTATTCGTACAAGAAAGTGGAAAATGAGACATATAAAAAAGTGCCGAGGCCACATTTGTCTAATGCTATTAAAAAAATTTCCCAGTACGAAAAAAATGGTGATAAAAAGATTAGCGATTTGGATGATAAGAAATATTAGAGTTAGATAAAAAATTTGATAAAAATATTAGAGAATTAGATTAAAAGATCAATAAGTTAGGTATTGAAATATTAGAGAGTTAGATGAAAATATTATTAAGTTGGATAATAAATTTGATGATATTATCGAATTTACCAAATCAGGAGGAAAACAAGTACAGTAGATATTTTTTCTGTTAGAAAATTTTTATTTGTCGTATATATTTATAAAAATTTGTTTATGGATTTATTATTTAAAAAAATTGTGTGAATATCATATATTTAAGACTTTAAAATAGATTTTGAAATTCTTTTTATTCTATTTATTGAATAATACTAGAAATATAGATATGTATATAAAATATATATGACATAAATTATTTTGCTATTGATTCAATTCTAAAATTTTCAAAAATAAAAAATGACTTTTTTTAAATAAATAAACATCATTTCTTTATTTATTAATATATCTCTTATATATATTATATAGCAAGTTTAATGCTAGCTTGCCTATACAACTTATCTAAAAAAAATTTTAAACAATAATACTTACTAGATACAAACTAAATTTATGTCTTACTGATTTCTTGTAACTTATTGATATAACCTTTATTAACATGAATAGTAAAGTATAAATAATATTATTTGTTGGTATAGTTGTTATAGTTGTTATAATTTTTATTATTGTTGATATATTGATAAATCAATTAAACCAGATCTGTTAAATAATATAACAAATTTTGATTGAATTGTTTCCAAGTATTACATTAGTTAAAAAAAATAAGTTGATTTTTGTTTTTTAATTAAAAAAAAATAAATTTTTTAAGTAATGTAATAAATATTACCAAAATAAAAGATTAAATTAAAACAAATATTATCAAAATAAAAATATAAGTAAAGATTAAATTAAAACAAATATTAGATCTACAACTTTATTTAAATATATTTACTAAAAAACATTTATAAGATTAGTAAACACAATCAATATTAATAAGAATAATTTTTGTAATATTAAAGAAATATAAATTACAAAAAAATATAAATATAAAAATATATCGTTATAAGCTCTTTTTATATAATTAAAAAACAAACAAGACTTTTAAACTTGAATAAATTTTAATTAAAGATTTCATATTATTGTATCAGTTGTTTTTAATATTCTTAAGTTCTTGAATTAATTTTTACTTGTAATAAAGAATATAAAGTATTTTTTAATTAAAATTATTATAAATAAAATTTTAATTAAAATAAATATTATTAAAAGAAATTTTTTTTTATTTTCTAAAATAATTAAATTAATTATTTATTTATTTTTTTTAGAGATTTTTCTTATAAGTAAATATCATTTCTTTATTTGATATTTGTATATAATATAGTATATATCATGAAAGAAATAACATCTCTTTTATTATTTCAGAAAAGTTTAATGCTAACTTACCTACTTAACATTACTTAACTAATATTGTAAAACATTTCAAAAGCAATATTATAGTATTGAATAAAACTGAGTAGTGGCTATGCCTATCAACTCAGGAAATTTTATGAAATCTTTTGATTTTTTAAATATATAATAATTGAAAAGAAAATAAACATAACTGTAACTAAAACTGTATCAAATAAACTATAAAATCTATAAGTAGAAAACTAATTATTTCTCCAAAAAAGTTTTTAAACAGGCTCATAATTCCATCTCTCCAGTTGTTTTGTTACCATAGATAATAGAATATATGTAAAATTGTTTGTTGTTATAGTTGTTAATGGATATGTAATTGATGTTATTGTTGTAGTTGTTATTATAATTGTTGTTGTAATACAAAACCAGTTTGAACAGGTTTGGTTTTTGTTTTGATTTTTAAGTGAAATCTGATTAGATGATTGAGAAATGCTAATTATCTGTATGAGATAAACCGATTTCAGTTTTTTGGCCAGGAAAAAATATTGAGGAATTTGAGATAGTACAGTAAATATCACTATAAAAAAATAAAATTTATGAGTTAACTTGAAACAAACAATAGACTTACTAACTCTGTTTGAGTGTGTATTTTGAAAAGTATTTGTTTTAGCGAGTATAGTAATAATAATATAAATAGTTTTTATAATAGAATAAGGGTAAGAAAAAATGTAAGAGAATAAAAAAATAGAGAATTGCTATAAGCCTTTCCTCATACAACCAAAAAATAAGCAAGACTTCTGAACTTG